TAAAGCTTTATAAGTATAATGTGAAATCACATACTATTGTAGCAGCTTGATTGGGGTGTGGGGGAAGGTGCACAGAGTTGTGCTGGAAGAGTTTGTTGCAAAATCATCACAGACATAAGTTTGACATGCATGATAACCTAAGATTTAATTATCTAGGTGGGTTTTTTATAGTGTGTGTGTGTAGGGGGGCTTCTTGGGTATCTTAAACCTGCTTTAAAAATCCTTGCAGCAGCAGGACATTGGCCACTGTTGCTCCCCAGCTTTACTTGTGGCAGATAAGGGGGTTTATACCCTGTGTTTGTCATGGTTGACTGAATAATTTTACTAATAGATTACACTAGGAGTGTCAAAAATGTCCTGTAGGCTGGATCTGGCCTGCAGAGCCCTGTCAATCAGCCCCCTGTGCTGCCCCTTCATCTGGAGTTGCCCCATGCTCTGCACACTGTGCATTGGACTGGTCTTGTGTGCAGGGCTCTGAATGCCTGCTGCACACCCTTCCTGCTTTAACTGGCCTGAGACCTGTGCTGCATTTGGTACCTGCCTTAACTGGTTCAGGACTGGTGCCCTGTGAAGCATGGGTACTGCAGTGGGTGCTGTGGTTGCTGGATGCTGTATATTGATTGGATGTAGGGGGAGAGGGAAGGTGGCAGGGCACATGCTGTTCACTCAGCCTGTAGACCAACCCTGCAACACTCATCTGGCCCTGCAGAACCAGGTGTTTTGTCACCCCTGGGTTAGACTGGATTTGTGTAAAATAGTTTTGATAGGGATGATCCTGCTTTGGGGAGGGGGATAGGATTAGATGATCTCTGAACAGCCCTACTTTCCTCTGTATCCATGTTTGTAATTGAGTGACATGTCATTCACACACTACTTCTTAAGTACTGTAAACTAAAATTTTAAAATAAGAATCTGAAAATTATTGAGCCATATATAGGATTGCTTTAAAATGTATATAATTATAACATACTTTCCTAGATGGGTTTGATACTTTTTTGTAGCTTAAAAGCTTTTTTCAGTTGTAATGTAAATCTGCATCTTTTAGTGTCTGTATTGGCCACTGAGTAAACCTCTCTTTGGAAAGTAACTGAAGTTCAAATAGAAAAGTTCATTTAAATAAATTATTTAAGCTTAGGTTTTCCATTTGCTGATTAAATTGCCTTAATTTCTAAATCAAGACATCCTATCTGATCTCTTGAAGGATTCCTAGTGCTGGTTTTGTTAAAAAGTTGGTGCTTCGTAGGAAATGGATGATGTTTCAGTGTAACCTCTTCTTCCACCCTCTTTCCCTCCCATTTTATTATCTTATTTGAGGCAGTCATAACAAGTTTCATCAAGATGAGGTTATGGGCATCACATTTTACACTTTCACAACATCCCATACTTACTGTTCTTTGTGCCATTGCACTAACCAGGACTATGTAATAAAAATAGGTGTTCATTGCCATCTTCCATGAGAGAACTCTCTGGGCAGAATAGGACTTGTAGACTGGAATGGATCAAATCAGTTGAGAGCAACTCTGTTCCCTCCTGCCAATGACTGAAAACATCCCATTAAAACCTCAGGTTCAACTAAATGAAAGGTAGTTGGCTGATCTGATTTTTTTTAAACCATTGGAGACTCCCTTTTCTGTTCATCTGTTGCTAGGAGTGGCATTACCCAGAAGATCACTAAGGAAGTCAAGTGCCACAGAGCTGGTAGTATACTTAACTTATTCTTTTTCAGGTAAAATGCTTCAGATGCTCTCTGATAGCATCTTTAAGGGGATACAGTTATTCAATTTAAACCCAAGGTTTAATTTTTATAAAAATTACTTTAACTTAAACTCACATTTAATCTAATAAAAGTGCAGTCTAGAAATTTAAGACTTCCTCCATTTCTATGGCATTTGTTTGAATTCAAACCTTTCTACAACTCGTACATTCTAGTTTGGGCTGCTGCATGACAATAGAAAAGATATTAATGGGTCTTAACTGAATTTTGGTGTTTATTTGCTTCATTTCTGCACTTGATTAATAGCCGAGTCACAGCAATAATGGGTAGAATATTTAAATATTATATAAGTACTGTAGAGAACACAATTACTGTTGTAGTGAGAGTTTAATATCATTTTTCTTGCATACAAAGCACGCTTTTTGAAAAAATCAGGCTTTGGGGACTGGAGTGCACATTTTAAGTGAGAAAATGTAATAGTAGCAGTTTCTACAGCATGACCCTCTGCCCTGGGAAAGAGAGTGCCAGTAGTCAGCAGCTAGGGCACCCTGAGTTCTCACTGTGCTGCCCCTTGCACAGCACTTGCAGTATTAATTTCTCCCTCTCACACCTGCCTGCCCAGCTCAGCTTGAAAAGAGAAGAGAGACTGAGCTGTTTGACTCAGCCAGCAGCCCCTGTGCCATCCTGCAGCCAGAGGGTTAAGGGAACAGGCACAGTGTTTTGTGCCCTCTTGCCCCCCACTTCTGCTGACTTCAGTGGCCTGTATTTCTCTGGGGTAAATACCTTATTTAAGATCTTTCTTTTTTTGTCCTCATTTTGCCATTCAAAAACAAGTTGTCTGTCTTACTCAGGGCAGTGCTGTGAGTGAGAAAATAGGGTGTGGTTGTTATCAAATTTGACTATCCTATCTACTGTTAGTGTAGAGTAGGGGTTGGTAATATATGACCAGCACACTGGATCTTGCCTGCAGAACTGGAAGGATTCAGCAGCATTTTGGTAGCAGGGAGCATTGCCTGTGTTCATGCTGGAGCTGGGTAGCAATTGCCTGTGCCCATGCCATTGCTGGGGGTTGAGGAGAAATAGTGGGAAGAAAAAGTGGCTGCAGTGGAATCAGAATACTAGCTTGCCTCTGGACCGGAGTTGTGTTGCTCCAGCCTGTGGCTCTTAAACATTGCCAGCTGCTGGTGTAGAGGAAAAAAATGTCTTTGTACTCACTATAGATGAATACTATAAAACTGTAAAATGTCTTTCTTCATAGTTCCACATGGATGGTTTGTCTTGAGTGGAGTCCTGCACCCCACTGATTCAGAGTTCAAAGTTCAGAAACTGATTCAAGCTCCCATGGTGTGAACTGGAGGAGGAGGTGGTGTGATTCGGGTAGGAAACTTGTATATTTTTCCTTCTTAATATGTCCTTTCCATTGGTACATTTCTTGTTACTCTAATAATTTTCCAGATGCATTAATGGATATACCTTTTTCTGATCCTACACCTTCATCATCATCTTTATTGGCCTTTCTGAACAATAAAAGAGGTTTTTTTTTGGGGGGGGGGGGTGGTCAGGAGAATAAAGTCAATTCTTGTTATGTTAATAGAATCTAGGAGAAGTATGGAACAAGTGAGAATAGTGACTGCAGCCCAGCAAGTAATTTTAAAAAACTTAAAGATTCTGCACCTGTTTATGTAGTAATTTTGTATATGTAGTGTTGATAACAAATGAATGCTTAACAGCATATTCTTAGTTCTTGTATGCTATTTTTGTAGTTTTAAAATTGTTACCTTCTGTTCTGTATGCAAATTTATTATATAGACGGACTCTTCTCCATTGATGCTACTAAGATTCTGTTCAGAATTACTTGCTTGTACCTTTTGCATTCCTTGTGAAATAGCAGTCCAGTTTTTGATAACTTTGAATTTACAGGCATCTGTATCTCAACTTAAGTGGCTTAGTAGAAGCGATGAATTTCAACCAACTTGCCCAGTTTAAGTCGTCAGGTTAAAGTGACAAAAAGGCTGCCAAACTAGCCAAAGGTAAGAGTAGATAAGAATTTGTTTGTTGTATAGCTAGACCTTTGCTAACAAAGCACATAGTCTTTTATTTATGCATAGATGCTTATCTTGGAGAGGAATAATATAATGCTTATAGCTCATTAGTAGTAGTTCACAGACTGGAAAAGCATATAATGTAATAATGAAGCTGGAAGTTAAAAGAAGCCATGCCAAGTGTTGATGAAGAGGTGGTTCATTTCTGTTTTGTATTATGTTGGTTCATAGTTCCTACTCTCTTTGGGGATACAATACTTCCCTAGAGCCTCATACAGTACATGTGAACTTAAGAATAAAGAAGTCAGGCAGAAGGCAGGGTAGAGTTGCTCCTTATAGATTAGATTGGTGATGCATCAAAGGCTTATACATCTCTGATTCAGTTAGTCTATAAGGTGCAATTCTACCTTGTCTTCTACCTGACTTGAGACTAATATTGCTAACTACCCTTTTCTACAGAATGAAGTGATGGCTTCAGGGTATCAAAACCAGAATATTTTACTTGGAATAAAACCTTTTTGTGTAAGATTAATTCTAAATTAACCCATCTAATTTCCATATTATTAGTTTAATTTATGTGAAGAATAGTATAGTCCGACCCATATTTCGTCTTGAATAGGTGCTTAATCTAAAGATGGCTAGTCAGTGACAAATCTGACATTGGCTTCTGTCCTGATAAAAAGCTGACCAAACTGGTTTGTGTGATAAACCTAACTGGTACATAAGGATAGGACTGGGAATCGGAACTGGGTTCTGTGCTTGGCTGTTCTGCAGATTCATGATCACAGAATTAGGCGACTCAGGTGCTTTTGTAAGCAGGGATGAGTGCTGTACTACATCACAGAGGTCTTGTGAGGCATAATCAGAGTTTCAGAGTGCTTTGAAATTCTTGGATATAAGCTGCCAAGTGTTGATTTGGTATTCCATAGATGCTTTAGTGTAAAGTTTTAAAATTCATTGCTTTCTGGGAAAGAAGCCATAATTTGCCATGTTGTTAAACTTAGAATTCAGTACACTGCTGAACTTTTAGATCCAGTTTGGATGAAGTATGTTAACAGTATTTATTGGTGCTAAAAATACAAAGAGGAAATATCCTTCCACAATATTGAAACAAATAAATTATTTTTTGTGCACTGCCAGGATGTATGAAATAAAGTTAGTCCTTTCTCAGCATTATCTGAAGGAAATTAAAGGCAAAATATTAAAACATAGGACTTGCTATGCCTTTTGCAGCCTCTAGGTTGAATAGCATGTATTACTTAGTCAGTGGTTCTTAAAGGCCTTTGAAATAGATGTTTGGGTGAGAAGGGACCTTAACAGATCATCAAGTCTGACCCCCTGCCCTGATCAGGCAGGAGACCTGGGGTCAGACAACCCTAGCCAGGTGCCCGTCTGTCCTCTTAAAGACCCCCCAAGGTAGGGGAGACCACCACCTCCCTGGGAAGCCCATTCCAGATTTATCCCATTTCAGCCCATTCCAGATTTCAGCTATATAGAATATTGAAGTTTGCTTTTTCAGTGGAATGTCTAATATTCTGTACTCTGTGTTCTCTACTGACTGAAGTTTAAAGGATCTAAACACAGGGTTTAGAGTCATGCATGGCTTGGAGAGGGATGCCATTTCTAGGTATCTCCTGCCTTGCAATCAACACCACAAGTCTTAATTTAGAATAGCTTGAGTAGGGAGGGTCCCCTGTTTTTATCCTGGTCACTTGAGGATTTTTGTGGGGGACTTTCTACTCAATTACTGCTTCCGGGAATCTCACGTTTTCTGACAGAGCTTGATTCTCCTCAGTATTGTTCAGCTGGGACAAAGAGAATTGGCTACTAGTGAATTGGTGCAGGCAAGCTTACTTTTCATTGCTTTCTTTGATCTTAGGCCTCTTAGCCAACTGCAGTTTGTTGGTTCAGTAATATATGTCCCTAGTCTTTGAATTTAGCTGTAGGCATCAGTGTCCCTCCTGGAGCATTTTAACTGTTTCTAGGATCTGTGGTGGAAATTTATTATAAGAAAATGCAAAGGGAAATGTCTATAGTAGTAGTATGGAGGTACATTTCCTGCGTAGGTGGAAGAATGTATTCTGGAAAGAAACTATGTAAAAAATAGTGTATGGTAAAACCCTGCAGTCTTGAACTTAATACTTTGATGGTCAACAATACAACAGCAGTTATAACCTCAGTAGATGTGCCACATTTTATCTTCCTAGAAGCAATTTCCTCTTTATGAAGTTTTAGTTAATAGCTGTCTGGGAAGAATAGAGTCATGGTTTGGAAGGACAAATGGGGATGCTGAGCAGTATTGGAAAGGCTCAAGAGTACTCAGACAATTAGATTCAGGTAGTTTTATTATCCTGATTCAAGCAGAAAAGAATTGACCATCAAGAAACTGGAGTGAAAACCAGAGAGGAGGTATAGCAGTTTATAACCACGAGCCAAGAGAATGAGGAAACAGTCTTTATATTTGGAAGCAGAAAGGATGGGCAGATTTCAGCCAGTAGCTAGAAGATCCAGAAAGAATTCCATGCAGGACAGAAGTATCTAGGTGCCAGGTGCTTAGCATGAAAGCTGCCTCAAATGTCTGAAGAGCTGGTAATGTGAATGGGATGCATCTGACAGTGGATCTTCAGCCTAATCTTCAAGGCATTCAAGTATCAAAACCTCCAATCAGAAGAAGCCAAGCTATCTTTAGAAGATATTATGCATGGAAAGAGCATAAGGTACAGCTAGACAGTAGGATGGACTGTCTTCCAACTATGAAGACATGGCATTGCAGACTCCTGAAGTTGGTGGACAAGATGGTGTGCATCTGTACTGATGATTTGTTTCACGTGGTACCTTACATATTTTTAGACTGTTTCAGGAACTTGGAAAGTGTCAAAGGAGGCTTGAGAAGGCAGAATTTTCAAGAAGTAAACCTCTGTGGCTAAGTGGCATCGTGTACAGGGTTCTGGCTCTGAAATATTGATTCATTTTGGGCTATCTATTGGCTACAGAGTTTGGTTCCCTCTTGCTGTGGAGGAGAGTAACTTGGAGAAGAAAAGAGACTGGCTAGAGTAGTCAAGAGGGCTTAAATTAACAATAAAAAAGAAGACAAAAGGATGGGCCAACAAACAAGCATTCAGTAATATAGCATCAAGGTGTTGAGAATATTTGCTTTAATCAAGGGATACCTTGATTAATAACAAAGTTTTTAATGACTTAAACACTTCTGTGAGGAGTTTAGGTAAAAACACAAGGAATTGTTTGTTTATGAGCATAAATTTGAACAAGCTAGTTCTTGCTGACCCCTGATGGGAAGCAGATGTACTCCTGATGGGATGATTAACATGAGTGGAATGCTAAATTCATAACTTGCGTTTTTCAGGAAGGGCTGACTAGAGAAAAGGGACATGGTGCTCTGTGTCAAAAATGTTGTTTGGTACCCAACTTTTCAGTTCAGGTGTTGTAGGCTTCCATGTTCTTGAAGCAAATTACTTTGAATGGATATTGATCAGTGTCCTAACAAATAAATCATGAGATGAAGATACTAACTATTGTCTATACAGGCCACCAGATTGCACCAGAGAACAGGATGCATTACTTCGTAGGTGCAGGGGACTTAACTGGAGTGGTGTAAGTCTTATGCTGCCAGTACTAAAATGTTTATAGAATTTTCTGAGAAGCAGGATTTGCTTGGTAATGTTTTACTGAACCAACTTCACAATTGGGAGAATTGCTAGATGAACTTTTGGGTTAAAAAAAGTTCAGATACACCCAGCGCTTTAAATACAAATCCTGCTTCTTCCATATTCACTGGACCATCACAGCCATTGGTGCCAATTTAGATGCCCCTGAAGAACCCAGGTAGCAGCAGCAGCATCTAGCGTACAGAGAGATTGCACTGTTGTAGCAGAAGCAGCAGCAGGTGGGTTCTTTGAGACTCTAGTAAGATTCTCCCCTTCTCAGGCATCACTTCTTAGGGTGGTAAATCTGCTTGCTGTCTCTCTGATTTTCAGGTACAACAATGCTATTACAACATGGAGTTTTCAAAATTAATGATTAGTTTACTAAGTGTTGCAGTCCGCTGCGGATCGACCTCTTCTTGCTAGATACTGGACGCATCTACATGAGACACTAAATGCACAGTAGATTAATTCTACTGCGCATTAGTGCACCACGGCAAAAAACATGCTATTGTGCTAATGCAGGTACTAAACTTAATGTACAGTAACCATGGCACATTAATGCACTTGTAGATGTGCCCAGTGAGAAAGTAACAAGTAAGGTACACCTGATCATGACTTTATTTTTCCGTTTGTACATAATAAATGCGAAGTCCATATTGCTAATACTTAT